GCTCCGCACGGTATTTCTAAGTGCGCAGTACTGATGTAATATTTTTTCATGAATGACAATTAATCAGATTTTGAGCATTTCTTACTCAAACTTTATTTCATAATTCATGTCATACCTCGAGATTCATGCTGAATGATAGAAATTTATTGATGACATATCAATACTTAAACTATTAAACTATAAAAAATATCATCAATATCAACAAAAATAAATACATATTTTTATGCTTAAATTTTGATAAGCTTTACAATATTACATAAATAAGTATAAAAATTTATACATGAGATATATAAAAATATAAGAAAATGTAATAATTATATACAACTTCTTTTTAAAATTCTACATGATCATTTATGGAAATCAAACAATTATAACGCTATTTTTATTTTGAATTTAAAACGAATGATTAGAACTTATATAATTGTTCAACCTCAATATATATGACTTAAAAAGTCTTTTTGGTTCACAAGTATAATTTTTACATTTTATCATCTAATTCTGATTATTATAAACTTTTTTTAAGAAAATTAGGCCATAGTTTTTGAGCAGCAACTGCAGATAATCCGGTGTGATGGAAAACAGAAAAGCTTTTGGCTGAAGCTTTGGGAAAAATATTACATCAGGATTCCAAACGTAAAGCTACGTTAGAATTGCAATAATTAGGAATATCCCACTGTGTTATAGGAATATTCCATCTGCACTATCTGCAAAAAAAAAAAGAAGTGTTATTAGATTATTTTGCATTTTTATTGGAATATCCCCCATTTTACATGATTTTAGGTTGAAGTGTTATTGAAATATTTACCCGCGTTATTTGATTTGGGGCTATGTTATTCGACGTATTTCCAATATTATTTCAATTTACACTATGTTATTTGAATATTTAGAAGGGGAAAAAGTATAACATCAGAAAGTTAGGCTGAACTGTTATTGGAATAACACAACTCCATATCAGGGGAGAATATTTTAACAACACTGCAAAATAATCGAATAAAACTTTATTAAGGACTGTCCAAATCCAAAGTGCTTAATCGATGTAATCTTTTTCCGAAGCCTGAGGCAGAACAGTTTTTGTTAGCCCTAGAAGTCGAGTTCTACAATATTCTGGTTTTATTGCCCAGCTCAAGCTCAATCCACCAGATTCAATCCAGTGGTTCCACGAACGGGACGAAGGACCTGTTTCTGGAGTTTTGAGTGTTCCCTTAGCGAACATGGGCGACCTGCGATCCGATTCTGCTATGTGCCGCCGCATAGTTAGTGCGTTCTTGGACTTCCTCAAGTCGGGTACAATTTTCTTTCCCTTGATCGTTTTCTATCAATCTCTCTATTCCATCTAAGTCCTTTCGTTTTATGTTTGTTTTTATTCAGATGAACAACGTTCTTGCGTCTTTGATATTGCTGAAGTGGTTGTTTAAATGCAGCTTTCTTACGTAACCAATTTTAAATGACAGATGGAAACAATGCTTGACAAAAAATAAAATTGTTATAAAATATTGATTACTTTGCTTAAAAGGCTGCAACGCTCCTATTCGCAGTCTTTTTTTTTTTTTTTGAGTCTTTTTTGTCGTCGAAATTAGGGGGTGTTTCTT